ATGGAACCAAGAACTAGAGCATTATCAGGAATCAGAATGGTTTTCCCCTCCCCCTATCCAGTGCTTTGCTTGTGACCAGGGATATAGCCTTATGTGGCCTTCCTAGTCCCAGCTGTGCATCACCCGCCAAGTTCCTAACACAGATTGACAGTGTCTGGGTCCTACTTCCAGAATCTTGAAAGAGAATCTGATGACCAGCTGCAGTCTATTTTCTGCCCTTGTTCCTTGTTATTATTATTTATAGCCAGGGAGAAGAAAGGTCATATAGTTTAAAACGTAGCTATGGTAGGTGAAAGTCAGTGGTGGCCACCATGCAGGACAAACATCCCAAAATGTCTGTGCAGATTCCATGAAAATTAGAATGGTTTTATTGAAGAAAAATGTTATTGGGTTCCGGGAGGAGAATCTTAAAGACCAGACTTGAAACAAGACTTCGATATAAGAAAACAGAGGTTTCCAAGATTGGGAAAGGCTTTTGGGGGGTTAAGTTCATCAGCTGTTGGCTAGAATGAGCATTTGTTGATGAAACATTATAGATGAGAATCAAGTGTTATACAGACAGATGGTTTAGTTGACCTATGAAATTCCTTCAGAGCCTGTTTTATCATGAGGTATTTCCACTAATATTATAATGTATCTTTTTCTTATATATGGAAACTTAAACTAGAGAAAGTCATGTAGGCAGCAGTGGCTCCAGAATTTCCATTTAAGTTGGGTTTGTTTTGGAATGGAAGCATGGTGGTGAGGGGAGGGCAGAGGCATTTAGGAGCAAGCTGTATTAGCACTTGTGGAGTGACAAACGACCCTAAAGCCCAGTGGTTAAAACAATAGCCATTTATTTAGCTCTTGTTTTTGTGGATTGGTAGTTTGGGCCTAGATCCAGCTAGGTGATTTTTCTGGCCTTATCCCTGTGTCTCTTGTCATTTGCAGCTTGGTTGGAGGCTGGCTGACCTAGGATGGCTTTAGATGGACTGCCTTGTCCACTTGGCCTTATCCTGGCTTCACATGGCAGCTAGGCACAGTTCTGATAGAAAGAATGGTCACACTCAGGCTTCTAAGGCCTAGACTCAGAACTGACATGATGTCACTTTTACAGAGTTCTGTTGGTAAAAGTGAGTCTCAAGATCACTTAAATTCAAGGGATCTGGAAATAGACCTTGTCCCTTGATCAGAGGGACTATGAAGTTACATTTCGGGGAGTGGAGGTAAAGGGAGGAGAATAATTGCTGCTTTCTTTTTGTAAACAATCTACTACAGCAAGTACACTGTTTTAATATATCACGGATCAGTAGAAATAGAAGCTTTTAGAAGGTGCTGTCATTCACACTCTACATATTGAGAAACCACAGCTCCCACCATAGGTTACCTATTCATTTTGATTAATTTGGACAACGAATCCTATAGTTGAAAAGTAGGTTTTATTCTTGTACTGAATTATTTGTTGATGTGGTGTGTGGGAAAGGGCAAAGTTATGGTTTATAAAAGAAAATGTTGGCTCGGCGCCTATAGCTCAACTGGCTAAGGCGCCAGCCACGTACATCTAAGGTGGCAGGTTCGAATCCCCAGGCCGGACCTGCCAAACAACAATGACGGCTGCAACCAAAAAATAGCCGGGCGTTGTGGCGGGCGCCTGTGGTCCCAGCTACTTGGGAGGCAGAGGCAGGAGACTCGCTTGAGCCCAGGAGTTGGAGGTTGCTGTGAGCTGTAATGCCACGGCACTCTACCCAGGGGGATAGCTTGAGGCTCTGTCTAAAAAAAAAAAAAAAAAAGAAAATGTTTTCTTTGTTTCAAATTAAAAGCATCCGGAATGTATTTATGGTTTCAAATGTGTTTAACATTCCTTGAATTTAGGCTATGCCTGTGATTGAATGTGCCCCAAAGAAGAAAGAATCTATTTGACATTGTAGATATTTATGTTCTGACAAATAGTTAATGATGTTGAATAAAAAACTACGTCTAGGGCGGTGCCTGTGGCTCAGTGGGTAGGGCGCCAGCCCCATAAACCAAGGGTGGTGGGTTCAAACCTGGCCCCGGCCAAACTGCAACAACAACAAAATAGCCAGGTGTTGTGGCGGGTGCCTGTAGTCCCAGCTACAAGGGAGGCTGAGGTAAGAGAATTGCCTAAGCTCAGGAGTTGGAGGTTGCTATGAGCTGTGTGACACCATGGCACTCTACCAAGGGCAATAAAGTGAGGCTCTGTCTCTACAAAAAAAAACTACGTCTAAGCCAGAGCATTTAGGCAAGAAATAGAAATAAATGCATCCAAACTGGAAAGATTATTCCGGTAATGTAGACAACATGATCTACATAAATACAGAAAAATTTAAAAAGACTTTACAAAAATCTCTTAGAACTGATAAATTCAGTAAGGTTGCAGGGTACAAAATCAACATGAAAAAATCAGTAGCATTTCTATATGTGAATAGTGAACTAGCTGAAAAAGAAATCAGGAAAGCGATACCATTTATAGTAGCTACCAAAAAAAGTTATCTAGGAATTAGTTTAACCAGGGAGGAGAAAGACCTTTACAAGGAAAACTATAGAACATTGATAGAAGCAATTACAAAGGATACAAAACATACAAACACACAAAGGAAAGACATCCCATGCTCATGAGTCAGAATTAATGTTGTTAAATTGGCTATACTAACCAAAGCAATCGATAGATTCAGTACAATCAGTATTAAAATACCAATGACATTCTTCACAGAATTAGAAAAAAATTCTAAAATTTATATGGAACCATAAAAGAGCTCTCATAGCCAAAAAAATCCCAAATAAAAGAACAAAACCGAAGTATCACACTACCTGACTTCAAAATATATTGTAACACTGTAGTGTATACCAAAACAGCATGGTTCTGCTATAAAAAACGACATAGACACACAGTACAGAATAAAGAACCCAGAAATTAATCCACATATCTACAGCCAACTGATTTTTAACAGAGACACCAAGAACACCCTTTAAGGACAGTCTCTTCAATAAATAGTGCTGAGAAAACTAGATATTCATGTGCAGAAGAATGAAACTAGACCCGTCTTTCTACTCTTCACAAAAATCAATTCAAAATGTGTAAAAGACTTCAGTTTAAGATCCAAAACTGTAATATTGCTAGAAGAAAACATAGGAGAAGTGCGCTTCAGGACGTTGATCTGGGAAAAGATTTTAAGAATAAGACCCCAAAGGCACAGGCAACAAAAGCAAATAAACCAACGGAATTGTATCAAACTGAAAAGCTTTGGCACAGCAAGAAAAATAATCAGCAGGACAAAAAATGTAGACTGGGAGAACATATTTGCAAACTATTCATCTGATATCCAGAATGTACAAGGAACTCAAACATCTCAACAGCAAAAAAAAATGAACAGTTAAACTGTTTGTTTAAAGTGGGCAAAGATATGAAGGGTATTTCTTAAGAGAAGACATACAAATGGCCAACAGACATATGAAAAAATGTTCACCATCACTAATCATCAGGGAAATGCAAGTCAAATCCACATGAAGTATCATCTCACCCTAGTTAGGATGGCTGTTATCCCAAGGTGACAGGATCACTTGAGCTCAGGAGTTTGAGATCAGCCTGAGCAAGAGCAAGACCCCTCTCTAGTAAAATTAGAAAAAATTAGCTGGGTGTTCTACCTGATGCCTGTAGTCCCAGCTACTCAAGAGGCTCTGGCAGGAGGATCACTTAAGCCCAGGAGTTTAAGGGTGCTGTGAGCTAGAATGATGCCACTGCACTCTGGCCTGGGCAACAGAACAAGACTGTCTCAAAACAAAAAATCAATAAATAAGAATGACTGTTATCAAAAAGCCAAAAAGAAAAAAAAAAAAAAGAAATGCTGGTGAGGACAGAGAGAAGAGAACTCTTAGACACTGTTGGTGGGAATATAAACTAGTATAGACACTATGGAGAATAGTATGGGGTTTCCCCATATCTATAACTAGAACTGTCATATGATCCAGCAGTCCCATTTCTGGGCATTTATCCAAAAGAAAAGAAATCAGTTTATCAAAGAGACATCTGTACCTCCATGTTTATTGCAGCTCTATTCACAATAGCCAAGATAATGGAATCAACCTGGATGTCCATCAACAGATGAATGGATTAAAAAAAAAAATACAGTACATATACATAATGGAAGGCTGTTCAGCCATAAAAAGGAAAGAAATCCTGTCATTTGTGGTAACATGGATAGAATTGGACGACATTCTGATCTAGGCCCAGAAACTTAAACACCACATACCCACTCATGTGGAAGCTAAAAAAAAAGGTGATCTCATAGAAGTAAAAAGTAGCACAGAGGATACTAGAGGTCGGGAAGAGAAGACAGAAATAGGGGTAGATATGATACAAATGATAGAAAATTGCAGCTAGACAGGGGGAATAAGTTCGAGTGTTCTGTAGTACTGTAAAATGACTATAGTTAACAATAATATATAGTTTCAATTAACTAGAAAGAGCATATTAAGGCTTGGTGCCCATAGCACAATGGTTACGGCATCAGCCACATACACTGAGGCTGGCAAGTTCGAACCTGGCCCGGGCCAGCTAAGCAACAATGACAACTGCAACAGAAAAATTGCTGAGCATTGTGGCACGTACCAAGCTACTTGGGAGGCTGAGGCAGAGAATCGCTTAAGCCCAAGAGTTTGAGGTTGCTGTGAGCTGTGATACACGACGCTCTACTGAGGGCAACATAATGAGCTTCTGTTTCAAAAAAAAAAGAAGATATTAAATGTTCTTAATACAAAGAAATGATAAGTGTTTGAGATGATTGATATGCTAATTACCCTGATCTGATCACTATGTATTAACTGCATTAAAACGTCACTACATACCCCATAAGTATGTACAATTTATATGTCAACTCAATTCTTTAAATCTGTCAGTGATAAATTACTACAAATGCAAATATATATAAGAACGTTTGCTTAAAAACTAATAATTTTAGATACAGTTATTTGGAATTTGAAGTTTAAATGTCTATTATATTTCTAGGAGCTCTGCCAGTGTCGGCCAGGTGAGGGCAATTGTTCCTGCTGTAAGGAGTGCATGCTGTGTCTGGGGGCCCTTTGGGACGAGTGCTGTGACTGTGTTGGTAAGTTGACATGCTGTGTCATTTCTTAGCATTTCTTATCATAGAGTCCTTGACTTTTAGAGACTTGAAAGAACATAAATGTATTTCATGTATGTAAAGAAGTATGTGCATAAAATATAGTAAACATATAGAACATATTTTTACATTTGCTTGTATCAAATAGTATTTACATATGTTTGCGAACTCATCCTAGAAACAGTGCTGCATACCTCATTGCTGAATATCATCAGTACAGTCCCATTCGAAGTACTCACCTTGGGAAGCTACTCTGACAGCAGCACCTAGTCCACCATTCAAAGCAGTTTTGGCACTCTTCTTCTGGAATGGCCTTCAGAGCTGTCGTCCTGTAAGGTCTGACAACTGAATTTGTGAGCTCAATCTAGGAGAAGTGCTTTGAAAGGTAGATGAGGTGTTGGCATTGGTACAGCTTCCCAAGGGAGCACTTTGGACGTGAGCATAGTGATATTCAGCAATTAGGGATGTAGCACTTTTTCTAGGATGAGTTTGTGAACTTAATTGACTTCATATGTATTTTTATTTGTATATAAAAAGGCCTAGGAGGGAATTTAAAGTGTTTATCCTGGGAAGTAGGAATGAGGGCCATATAAGAATTTTTAAGTTTTAATTTTGAATTTTTTTATCTAGTTGAATTTTTTATAAGAAGCCTTTTTTTTAAAGCATGTTTTCTAAGAAGCATTTGAGAAAGAGTCTCTAAGATGTATTGTTAAAAAAGAAAAAAAGCCAGGTGCAAAAAGTGTGTCTCTAGTGTGCTATCATTTGAAAGATATCTTAACATGCATAATATGAAACATCCATCATGCCTTCTCTGACCAGTTAATTTGTTTTTATCTTTTAAAACCCGGGTTCAAATATCCCTGTTTCTCAGCAACCTTAGTCGTATGACTGAGATAAAATCGTTTATGCTTTCCTTCCATGCTCCTGTAATTGCTTTGTACATCTCTTTCAAGACAGGGATATTGTCCTGTTGATCTTTTCTACATTAATTTTTATTTTTTTCACAGTGAGATATGTACATTTAGAAATCACATGATGCAAAAACAGTCTCATCTTACTTCTTTCTGATCCTTTGATCCTGTGCCCAAGACCACGACTTTGAATTTGTCAGTGTTGTGTTGCTTTCATGATTTTAAATAATATCCTTATAATAATCTCTTGATTCCTTGATTTTAGAAGCTATCATCTATTTAGAAACTGTTGGCTTCCTTTTATGGTAGATGAAGATTCAGTCTTCGTCTTTCCAATATGGTTTTATCACTTCCCATAATTATTACTTTAATAATTGGTTTATTAGTATCACATACTACCTTGCATAATAATGTAAGCACTAATTTATCACATGAATTATCCTGTTATCTATTTTTTGTATTTTGGGTGTATTTCCTGATAGATTTCCTAATCTTTTAACTTTTCCTTTTTAAATTTTGACATTTTTAATTTCCAAGAGCTTTTTTCTCTGATTGTTCTTTTGGGGGACCGCATCGACTTATTTATAAACAAGACTTTTTTTTGTCTTTCTAGGATCATTAGAGACTTGTTGTTGCTGTTCAAGTTTTCCCTGTACTCTTCACTATTTCTGTTTTCTCAAAAGTCTGGTGATCCTTGGCAGCTGTCTGTTCTCATGTACAATTTAGGTACTGCAGAGCTTACTGGGAGTCCCATGCTTGTGGACAGGGCACAGATTTGTCTCACTAAAGGATGGTTGGAGGCTAAGCTGTATTCTTCATTGACAATCCCTCTGGTTCATGCTGAGATCTTTCCTTTTGGGGGTATACAGCTTTTTCTGGAAAGGGTCTCCCAGTTTCTTGCTGGGAGTGGGAATAGGGGTCATGGGTAGTATGCTTGGCTGCACATGTTTAGGAAACCTGAGGGCTGAGTCACAATATCCTAATTTACTTTCCTTGGTTTCTTTCCATTATCACTTCCACACTGCATTTGTAGTGTTCCCAGACGAAGGTTTAATTTCCCTAGAGAATAACTCTCTCATCTCCTACAAATGTGGAAGAAGAGAACCAAGGACCTGAAGGTGTAACTGCACAGACGTAGGCTTGCTGTTCCACAACTGGTGCCTCCTCCAATCCTGAGTCTCCCCGGGATTGGCCTGTGAGGAACTCTGCTTAGTTACCTCTAGCTCTTAGGTTCCTCAAAGATTGGGTTACTGTTTCAGATTCTTATTTTTTCTTAGTGTTCTATTGTGAATTCTGAGATAATGGGGGCAGAAGTGTCTTTTCCTCTGGTCCTCTTGAATTCATCTTGGTATCTCTAATAGCTAGTATAATGTCTGGCTGAGAAGGTACTCAGATGTTTTATGATTGTCAAATAAATGAGTTCTTATTGAATTATATTCCCAAAATGGACAGTTTATTTTAAGCCCCTGATAGCTAAGTTTTTTCTATTATGTTAGCTGAAATAAAAGAAGCTTTGAATTATTTTAGAGTATTAACTTAATTTAGATAATTTACTATGCACAATGAAAATAAAGAATAGCCATATGAATCTTAATAGAGATATACATTTAATTTAAACATGGATGCCAAAATACATGAATTCATTTTTAGTTTTGCCTAAAATACTGTGTGTGTACGTGTTTGTGTGGCCATGTCTGTGTATTGGGTGTATGTGTATTATAGTACAAGTGTGTGCATTTATATGTGTTTTAACCATCATGGTATAATAGTGCTGTTCAGCTGCTTTTTTCAAGAAAAGAGTTCTTCATTTTTTCCACTGAGAAAGAATAATTATACATGTTTATATCTCTACAGTTTTAGAAGCAGCTGGTACGCTTCTAAGCTAGTTCTCATAAAAAAAAAAAAAGTTTACCTTAAAGGTTGAATAGCCAGTTTTAAACTTCTAGCAAGTTCATAATGTAACTCTATCTGCCATTTTAAACTCAGTTAATCTTTCTACTTTCTAGGATACAATTTAGATATTCTAGCTCTGTTTATACAGCTTCTTCCTCTTTGTAGGCAGCTCTCTTCCAAATTAGGCTCTTTTTGTGAACCGGCGGCTGCTCCTCTCTCCTAAGTTGAAACACTCCCCATACTTTTCTTAGGTGGGGCACAGATCTCTGGGAAGGCCCAAATTAGAATGCAGCCTTTCTTTCCACTCTTACTCTGTGCACTTTAGTGTATACTTTACCCAGCAAACTTTCTTCTTTGGCTCCCTGTAATAGGAGGCTTAGCTTCTCTTTTCTCTTCTCTGATTTTCTCTTAAGAATAATCACCATAGTTCATTTTCATTCTTGTTATTCAATATGTTCCTCAAATCCTGTGGCTTTTGGATCTCAAATCTCTATGGGCTCTTTTGTTGTTGTTTACCGTTTTTACTTTACTGAACGTACACAAAAATACAACAATGAACTGCTATGTATTATAATACCTACTACTTGCTTCAACAGGCATTATTAGATTTCCGAATTTGTTTCATCTTTCTGACTGTATGTCTCTTCTTCCCTCCTTCCACCTTTTTGTTTTGTTGGGGTATTATACAATAAATAATTTCATTACACCCTCAAAGGATTTAGTTATGGATCTCTAAAAAGACTAATTTTTCTTATATTATATAATGTTATTACCATACTAAGTGTAGTTAATAGTACTTTTTTAATATCTTTTAATACCCACTCAGTTCACATTCAGATTTTACTGATTGATTAAATGTTTCTTGTAATTGTTTTACTCAAATCAAGATGCAGGAGAATCTACTTACTGCATTTGGTTGTTAGATTTGTTAAACTTCTTTTGCTCTAAGTTTCTTCTCCCTTTTTCTATCATATTTTAATATTTCATTGTTGTTTTTTTTTTTTAAGAACCCAGACAGTTATGATGGAAAATAAATTGCATTGTGGATTTGGCTGATGCTTCCTGTAGTTATTTAACTTGTTACTATATCCTATTCCCTACAGGCTGGACGTTACATCTAAAGACTTGATTAGATTCAGGCTCAACTTCTGGGAAGAGGGTAGACTTTAGAAAGTGCGTAGTGTACACAGTTGAAAGGCAACTAATGTCTTGTTGTCCTGCTTTTAGAAATGCTGAAATTGATCCATGGGTTCAGATGGTGAAAGTCCCTTTGTCATAAAGGTCCTCATCAGCCTTTTACCTGTTGGTTTTGACCTTCCTTGATGACCATTGCCTGAATCAGTTATTTCATTATATGTTAAAAAGCATTGTTACTTTCATCATTACTTGTGTAATTATTAACTGGGATTCTTCTGTATGGAGTTTTCTCTCATCTAGGGCCCTTTGTTTATCCTGAAATAAAAGATAAGTAAACAAAATCCAAACACAAGGTAAATACTTAATTCTTTCCATTTTTAGAGTACTGTCTTTATGTCCTAGCAAATTACATTGGGATTCAATATATTTTGTTTTGCTTTTTGGTGGATGTTTCTTCCTTTTCTTTTTTTAAAGTATCACTGTGAAATCATGGGTTTAAAAAAATACTTAGTATTTTAATTATTTGGTGTCATTATTGTTTTTGCTCAAATAGTTCCATCTTTGGTTAAAAGGAATCTCTTCAAACTTCAAAAAGGTTCTTGAGTCCTCTTAATGTGATTTCTGTCATCTTTGTTAGTTTCTGACAAGCTGTCCCGGCTTATCCTTTATATTTGCTGCTTTACATCTGGAATTAGCCATTTCTCTAGAGAACTTTAGTTCCCTTTATGAAAAAATAGTAGATACCACAGTCTAGACATTGGGGGTACTTCTTGCTACTACTGGATGGCTTTTCTTTTAGCCCTTTTTAGTGGACAGAGGTAATAAATGTTAATATCTATGGGGGAAAAATCTTTTGAGTTTGTACTAATATTGCCTTATTATTTTTTTGAGATAGGGTCTCTGTCACCCAGGCTAGAGTACAATAAGGTCATCATAGTTCATTGCAACCTCAAACTCCTGGTGTTCCTCAAGTTCAAGTATTTCCTCCTGCCTCAGCCTCCTGAATAGCTGTAACTGCAGGCGCATACCCCCTAAAGAAAAACT